TGGGGTGGATTGATGATGAGTGGGGAAATCATTCTCGTTTGCCATCATCAACCCTAACAGGATTTTTTAAAAATTATATGAATAAAATCGAGTTAATAAAATATATCCCAGAGAGAGCTTATACTTCATTTTGTTTTATATACTATGATGAATAGGTTTGAGATTTATATATATATATATAGATGATTTAATATATATATATATATATATATAGATGATTTGCCTATAATTCTAACACCCAAAAATCAACTACTAGAGAAAACATAATATTAAATCTTATAATTAGAAACGATAAAAAAAAATGATGGTGTTTTAAAATAGAATACGCTCAATAAAAAGGTTTTTTTGAGTGTTTGGATAAAAAATAATCATATGTTTATGTTAATGTTTTCTTGTCAAAAAAAAAATGATGGTGTTTTAAAATATAATACGCTCAATAAAAAGGTTTTTTTGAGTGTTTGGATAAAAAATAATCATATGTTTATGTTAATGTTTTCTTGTCTAGAGTTCAAGAAGTTGATGATTGGTGATACAAGATCTAATACCTGTAAAATAATCTTTTTTAATAGGATTTAGAGATTATTTAATGATAAAGTTAGTGATTTTAAAAAATGCAATAAATAAGATAATAAACTTTAAATTATTGAGAACAAAGGTGTTTTTTATCGGTTATACACAATAAATACTCAATAAAATAAAATAAGAGTATGAATAGAGAATAGAAAAGGTGTGGCTCATTTACCTAAGTAGTTTAGAAAATATATATAGTCTCTAAACTTTGTTATGTTGCTTGAATAAAAGGGTTAGAGCTTTATTTTCTCCTAATAGCATTAATGAAAGCATAACATCAATGACAGATAGATATTCCTAACATGAAATTAATATTGATGGAAATGTGGTTAGTCATTTGAAGATTTTTATACATCCAGGGATATAGAGAGACAATCATTATTGACTTTTAATATTTTATGTTAAAAAACATGAGAATAAATAAACAAATCCATGTGACCTAACATGAGGCTTAAAAAAATTATCAACTTTATATGTATTTAAAGGGTGTTTGGCTTGGAGGTATGGTGACTTTTTTTGTGAGACTTACATAAAAAAACATGTATTTTTTTTTCACGAGGTGTGGTGCTTTTTTTCAATAGTACAACTCTCTTAAAGCACAAACCACGCCTCATGAAAATAAAAATACATGATTTTTTATATGGGTCTTGTAAAAAAAAGTCAACTACTTCTCCAAACCAAACACACCCCTAATTTTGAATGATTCCAAACCTAAAAGTTATGGGCCTGATATCTTGCATGACCCACATCTATTTGGGCTCAACGTGTAGTTGAGCCCGAAACAGTTGAGCATAACATCTAGTTAGATCTACATATATTTGGGCTCAATGCATGGTTGAACCAAATGATATTTAGATATAACATCTTCATGTACCCACATGTACTCGAACTCAACACGTGGCTGAACTTAAAGATATTTGGGTTTAGTATCTTATTAAATTCACATGCACTTGAGCTCAGCGCATAGCTGAACCTAGGGGTGTTAAATTTGACATCTTGTCAAACTTACTTGTACTTGAGTTTGACATATAGTTAAATCTAAAGATGTTGAATTGGATATCTTGTCAAATCCACATATACTTGAGCTTAGCATGTAGTTAAATATAAAGATGCTGGGTTCGGTATCTTAACAAACCCATATATACTTGGGTTTAGCATGTAACTAAATTCAATGATGTTGGGTCTAAAAGTAAATTGAGGATATGTTATATGGGCTTGACATTTTGCCAAAACTAAGTGCATTGAGTTATTACCCTGTATTTGGCTCTTATCATCATTAACTTTTAAGCAAATATAAAAATATATTAATTCATAAAAAAAAATAAAGAAGAAAATAGACAAAACATTTATTTTTCTTCAACTTTGACCAATTCAGGCCTTAGAAAAGCCAAGTCTTAGGTCATTGTCATGGCGATATAGGTTTTATGACTATATTTGTGAGGGTATACAATCCAATGGTATTTTAAAAGATTTTTTTATTACAAATTATATAAAATCATATCCTAAAAAATAAAACATAAAGGGAAATAAATCTCAATTTTAAATCACAATACCATATGATGAATTTCCTTGATAAAACATAAAATAAAATAAAGTTATGAGTATAACAACATACATGAAATTTTATAAAAAGATCAATAATTTTAAAAATTTAGCCTAATGAGTCAACATTAAAATCTTTTAACCCAACTCTTTGTATAATTTGAGTTTTAAATTAAATTATATAAGAATTATCATGACATAACATGTTTGTTTGAGAATGTCCAAAAATGATCATTAAAAACATGATTTGAGTTAAAAATTCAAGTTGACATATTTTCAAAGAAAATACACAGACAATGAAAATACTAGATCAACCCAGGTTTCGCAGTTTGACATGCCAAGCTCACGACTTAAATGATAGACTCCACTAGTTTTTTTATACTATTTTTTATTTAATTATATAATAACAAAAACATATGTTTGTAAAATTAAATATCAACTCAATGTTAGGATATTTGTTTAAGACTACGATAACCTCATGGAAGCAAACTGAAACATATTATAAAGCTCAGTTTCCAATGAACTCAGGTTAACTCATCAAACATGTGATTAGGTTTGTAGACTCTATTAGATTTAATAACTTTTATTTTTTAAAGACTATTTTTTATTTTAATATATGATAACATAATAGATACTCGTGAAATTCAGTATTAACTTAATATCAGGTTGGTTGTTTGAGATTGCAACAATCTAATAAAAAGAAAAAAAATAAAAAATATACAACTCAATTTTCAATTAACCAAGTTAATCCATTAAACATGTGATCTGAGCCATGAACTCCTGTAAGTTTTAATAACATTGTGTTTTTTTTTTAACTTTTTTATTTAATAATACAATAACAAAAATAAATACAAGCAAAATTGAGCATCAACTAAATATGAGATAATTTGTTTAATACCATAATAAACCTACAAAAAAACCAAAATAAATTACAAATTCTATTCAAAATCAACCAAATGTTAAATAACGAGAATGAAAAAAAAATAATAAAGAAAAATTAATAAAAACTCAATATTGAATAATATAATTAAAAAAATTAAAGAAAAAAAAGGTTACGTGCACGTGTCTAGGGGACCAAAGAGGCTTGGGGCAAGGTTTACATACTGAGGACTTTTTTAATTTTTTAATTTTTAATAGACAAATAACATGTCATCCGCCCTTTTTTTTTTTGAAAATGTAAAAATACATTAGCCAACACATCACCTATTGTTCCATGTTTTCCTTACCGTAAAGGCACATGCGATCTAAAAAATTATTTTTAACTCAAAACATAATCCCAAATCATAAAATCAATTTGAAAAAAAAATCTCTCCCATTCTTGATTTACATTCTCTGAAAAGACAAAGGTTTAAAAACATCTTAATAAAACCCCTTATTGAAAGGAACCTTTTGAAACCAATATTGATCTATTTTGTTGTCAGAAATATAACTAGCTAATGATTTTCTTTTTTATTCACCATTATTCGATGATTTTATCTTTTCTCCAGATTTTAAGAATGTATATTTTATATTTAAATTAAAATTACAAAAACTAAAAGGATTGTAAAAAAAAGAAGTAAGTGAATTAAACATAAATTTTAATATATCATTTATCATCTAGAAAAATACAAGATATGTTGCATATTTATTATGGCATTTTTAACTTATTGGGTATTATTATGGTATTTAAGAAAGTGTGGTTCTTCTAAATAACCAAAAAAAAAAAGGAGTCCGTTACATTGAAGAAGTAGATTTTTATTATATTAGTGGCTTGCATGATGCTCCGGGTTAGGTCAAATTTTTATCAATACAAAGAATGAATGTTGATGCAATGCTAATATTTTTTTAAAAAATAATATAAAAAACTCGGGTAATTGGATCAAGTTAGTTTAATAAACAAAATTAACTTAATAACATGATTAAGAAAATAAGTGATAACAGTAAATAAATTAAACTAAAATAATATATAATAATCAACTTTAAAAATAAATGTTTGTTAATATTATAGAAATATATTATCTTAATATTTAATAATAAAATTAAAAATTAAATAAAAATATAATAATCTTATAAAAAATAAAATAAAAAAACTTAAAATTTAATTTTTAGAAAATTAAATATAAAATAACGTATTATATTATATAGTGCGTATATAAATTACATGACATTTTCATATGTGCATCTCAAAATTGTACAAGTGTACTAAGGATCCAATGAGTGTCTAGTTACGAGTGTGTTTGGCTTGGAGATGTGGTGGTTTTTTATTAAAAATATAATATTTTTTAAGTATAAATCACACCTTTAAAAACTATAAAAACATGTTTGTTTTTTTTTAGAAAAACTACTTTTTATTCAAACATCCTCGTATTACTCAAAAAAATCTTATGCATTCCTCTTAGTGAATCCTTATAACAAGTGGGGAAAAAATTATACCAATTTTAATATTACATTAATGAATAAAACTTAAATACATTGAATATTGTTGAAGAATGTTGTTGAATTGCACTTTTCTAAAATTTTGAATTTATTTTAAAATTTAAATTAATATTTTTTATAATTCAATATTCTATATTAAAACTAAAAATATAAAATATAAAATTTTAATATATTTTAAAGTGAAAAATAATTTAAAAAAATATTTGCATCACAATTTCAAACACCATAAATGTATTTGTTTGGTACTGACATCATGATTTTGAAAAAAATTAAGTATTTTTTATTTTAAATTAATCTTTATACTATTTTTAAATTATTTTAAATAAATTTAAAAATATAAAAATATATTTTAAATAAAAATATTTCAAAAACTAATTATCAAGTACCATAATTACCAAGTACCAAAAGCATATGTACTCCACTTTTGTTGTCTTCCCAAACATCGAAGCATTAATGTCCAAAATTCAGAATTCCTAAAATAAAAAGCCATTTCTCCACCGAGCGCAAAAAGTTTATTAGCTCTCTCTCTCTTTTACATTTAACTTTCCCCCAACTATGTCCAAACCCTCTTCTCTCATCTCCAATTCCAAGGTAAAAGCAAAAAATAAAATAAAATAAATCCTCTTTCTTTCTGATTCCTGGTAACACACATGCAAGGATGTAATATCTCAGAAACTAACCCTGAAATTTCCTTCCTTTTTCCAATATTTGTTGAACAGGGTTGCTTAAAATAGTAGCAGAAGAAGTCAGGACTCATACCCAAGTGAAGTTGGAGAGAAAACTGAAAGAAATGAGCAACTCATCAGTCACAGTGGCGGCGGTGGGGCCAAGGGCACAACCAAGTTTCACGTTGGCTCAGTGGCATGAGCTAGAGCATCAAGCTCTTATCTTTAAGTATTTAAAAGCTGGATTATCTGTCCCTCCTTATCTTCTCCTTCCTATTCGCAAGAGTTTCCAGCTCCTATCCCCTGGTTTCTTGCACCCATCAAATTGTAAGCTGCAAAAACAAAAACCCATTTGGCTTTAGTTCATTTATATTTCATTTATATTTCATTTTTCTTGGATTTATCTTTTCTTCTTTGTTATTGTTAGTTTTTCTTTAGTTTCATTTAAAGTTGGTGTTTTAAGATTTATAAAGCTTGGTGAATTTAGGACTTGTTTGCTTATAATGAACGAGGCAAAAAATAAGTTGGAGATGTCAATCTGATTTGTGACTAGTTTTATTGCCCTGTGTGACGGTGGCTACTCTTTAACTGAATCAAATGTCAAGGAGGGCCTTTATCAGAATTGTATCTCTAATTTAATTTCAGTTGAAGTTTGTGTCTTTAAAATTGGAACAGATTGGTATTTGTTTAAAATTAAAGTTGGCAAGGTCAGTCTAAGTTTTTATAATTTTTACTGTTCACTGTGATAGTAGTTTCTACTCTTAATCAACCCATATGTAACTATGGATTCGTTCTCAAAATTTTTATTATCTTAATCAATTCAATGAACTGCTTATTCATTCAATTATTTTGAGACTGGTTAAAAACTGCATTTTGTTTCTTTTTGCTATCCCTTTTGTCACGTTCAGTAATCTGTTTTTTATATTTGGACTGTTAAATGCTTTGACAATGAGGTGAGAAATAGCATGCGACGAGACATCCAAATAGCCTTCAAGTAACTGAGTTTTACTCCAGGTATATGGTTCGGAGGAAAATTTACAGGAAATGGGTGGTGCAGTTTTCTGACTTGTGAAATTATCTTAATTTGCAAGTCGTCCTGTGTGTGCTTGTGCTTGTGCTTGCATGTGTGCACTTGTCTTGTCAAATGTCTTGGTGATATCCAGTTAATCATATAATCTTAAAGTTGCGGGTTATATTTTGTGTTTGTTACATGCTGTATTGGTCTTCTTTTGCAGCGAGCTATTGTTCCTATTTTGGGAAGAAGATTGACTCAGAGCCAGGAAGGTGCCGGAGGACAGATGGCAAAAAGTGGAGGTGCTCCAAAGATGCTCATCCAGACTCCAAGTATTGTGAGCGGCATATGAATAGAAGCCGTAACCGTTCAAGAAAGCCTGTGGAATCACAAACTACTTCTCAGTCCATGTCAACTGTTGAGTCAGAAATTGTAACTGGGAGCAGCAGCAGTGGCAGCAGAGTGTATACGACTATGCCTTTACCCACCATTGGTAATTCTGGGCCCTTAGGCTTTGGAAGCAACATGTCACATTGGCAGATGGAGTCTATGCCTTATGGTGTTAATAGTAAAGACTACAGGTGCGTGGTTGTTATTTGTACTAATCAAACTGCATGTCAAGCAAAGGTTGTATTAAAGGATTTGTGCTTGATAGCAATCTATATTTATATATCGGTACATCCATGGGTGATGCGGTATATCAATAGAGTGACATGTGATATTTGATGCACCCTGTATTTTTGAGTAACATGCTGAAGCCAAGCCATTTAAACATTACATAAAGCAATTTTCAACCCTTATGCTGCATTCAGCAAGCCAAGGTGCTCGAGTCATGATGTTCCAGTGCTTAAAGTTTATATTTGCTACTGTCAATATGTTTGCATGAATTGGTGGGAGCACCTTGGTCCTTACAGTGAGACTGATAACTAACTTCATATTACTTATTAGCTTTGTAAAAAGAAGGGTTATAGTGATGGTCTTGCACATTAAGGTAAGCAATATATTACTGCATTGATAAATCATGAAGGTTTAAGTGCTAAATGTATTGGATTAAGTGGTGAAATTGATGACTTGTTTTGAAATCATACTCAGAAAGCACTCCAACATTTTTCATTAACCATTGACTTCCATGGAAACCTAATATCTCATTTTTACAAAATAGGCTGACATAACAAGTTGAAAACTTGGAATATGTTGAATAGGTTCATCTTTCCCATATCCCTCTTCACTGTTGCTAGCTTGCTGTGGTTTGTAAGGAGTCTTGTTGTCATCAATAATATTTCGTAAAATATCAAATTTAGTTGGTTTCTCATCCTTTATTTGGAGCTGGCAGTAAGCATTTTTGGCAACCAACTAAAGCCCATTAGCTGCATTGCTAGCCAGTATCCATACAATGACATACAAAATATGGCTTGTCTTTGGATTGCCTCTATTATTTCAGATTAATACTCAGATAATTTGGATGTTGTTGCAACTTTAAGAAACATAGCTCATACTTATCTAGAATTCTTGTTCCTTTTACATCAAAATATAGTATCACATTTTCAGCCTGTCTAACGGGGATTTTATGAAACAAGTAAGAAATGAGGTTCAAACCTTAAAATCCCCTCCTTTCCCCACTCTAGTTTGTACAATTGCTAGTGCAACTAAGTTTAGCTATCATTGGTGACAGTTGCTCATGTACACTTTATGGTCTATGATTGTGATCATGGATTGCTGCAGTGATATCTCACTATCATATATTTTCAAATCATAACAGTGTTATATTCATGGTTTAATGATAGATGGAGCTATGCTGATGAGATTTAGCTTACATCTGACTTGCTCCCCACTAGATGACAGCATCATGATCTTTTTTCCTTTCTTTTTTTAAATGCACTACTACATTGTGATCTTGATTGCACTTGAATATCTAAAGATTAGCTTGGATTTCTCGGAGAGTTTGATCATGTGTTGCAAAGGAAAAAAAGGTTTCTGTGATCCTTTCAAAGCATACTCTAAGGCCATGGAATTTATTTATAAAGAAACCAACTGGGCATGTTCTTTCAAACTGGCATTGCAGGTCTCCCCATGGACTGAAGCTTGAAGCAGATGAGAAAACTTTCTTACCAGAAGCTTTGGGAAATACAAGGAGCTTCGGGATGAACTCTACTGTGGACAGCACTTGGCATCTCACATCCCAAGTCCCTGCAAGCCCTGTCCCAGAATCAAGAAATGATGCTCTTTTGCAAAACTACCCACAACTACGGACACTGCAGGATTTTGAGCCGCTACCTGTTGATGATGCACCGTCAAAACAACAAGAACAACAATATTTATTTGGAAGGGAGTTCAGTTCATCAGGATCTGTGAGGCAGGAAAATCAGTCCCTTCAGCCTCTCTTTGATGAGTGGCCTAAATGCAGGGATATGGATTCCTATTTCACTGATCAAAGATCTAACAAGAGCTCTTCTGGTGTTCAGTTATCAATGGCCATTCCAATGGCTCCTAACTCTGCTCCGAGGAGTTATCATTCCCCAAATGGTGAGTGTGTTTCCCTCTGGAATGTGCTTTCCACAACCTCCCATCCTAGGCGACCCAAGACTTGATGGAAAACAAATAGACGATTTCTAATTATACTGTATGTTTTCATGCAGATGCTTAAAAGGAGCATGGGAATTTCTTGCAAGTTATTTTGATGGCTTCATCAAGAAATGCCATCAGCATTCCTACTCTGGTTGTGGATTGACAATGTTGTGTTCGAGTACTTAAAATTTACTACTATGGATGGTTCTTATGGTAGACTTGTCTGACTACTTTGAGATTGCGTGCTTTAAGTTCTCCCTGTCCAGCATAAAATCAGACATCATTGATGTCTCGAACCTTCATGTTTATTCCTAATGTTACTGTTAATTTAGTGTTTGGCATGTTGATTTTGTTATGATCAACTCGATCTCCAGTCAACTTTTTATGCTCGATCCTGTTATATCTTTGTAAAGGTCTACTTATAAAATTGATAGGTTTGTTCAATTTGATACCCGCATTATAATTCATCACGTAGTGATTAATCAAGTAAATTAGACTCGCTCTTGCAGTGTAGAACTAATCATCATTCAGAAAAGGAAATAGAACTCGAAACTAGTTAAGGATCGCAGATACTAAATCCCACAAGCATCAATCTAAACCCTAAGCATTACTCTACAGTATATCCCCAAGATGACCGTCTACGTCATACTCACGTTGGAAAAGCTCGTGTTTGGGTTCTTGTTGCCATGGTTTGGATGCTGTGCCATGAATTGCTTCATAAGGCCTTCATTCTCGATCTCTTTGCTTGTAGGGAGACCTAACTGCTTCTGTCGTTGATCAAACATCATCTTTTCCACAGTGGACCTTGTTTCTGGATCCAAATCAGACAGCTTGCTAGGCTCTGGTTCAGCTTTTTGAATATCAATCTCAGAACCACCCTTGAACAAGGACTTCCATCAATTCATCCTATCGCACTTCGTCAAATGCACAGAAACAGTCTTTTGGTCCTCCAAATTCCAGAGAGAATCATCAACCTTGATTGGCTCAAATAGTTCTCCTTTGAGAATTGAAGGCTGACCTTTGAGTCCAACTTTCGCAGATTTTTTCTTCATATCACACACAACGTCCCTAGAGTTTGTTCCAGGAGGGACAGGCACAGTAATAGTAACCTCTTGAAGTGTCTGTGCCCATGAGTAATTGTCCATGTCAAGACCATTGTCTTTGTTTGGAACCCGTAGCCTTTTCTTCTCCTCCTCTATCTTCTTCTCGTCGGTACGTCTTTTCTCTTCTGCTTTGATTGAATCCTCTCCAGCCTTGATTCTTTTCTTGAACTCCTTAACTAGGGCAGAGACACCGGTCTTGAGGACATCAGACTTCTGAGACAAAAAGTTGAGGGCAGACTCCAATAACCCTAGAGGGTTTGAGGGATCAAGTACTACGTTGAAGGACAACGAGATGCTGGGGCTTGCTGGTTCTGTTCAGGCTCTTCGTAATCGGAGAGAATGGCCATGATTGAATTCCTAGATTTCTGCCCAAAAAAAAGAGAATTCAATAGTTTTTTTTTTTTTTCGTTTTTCTTTATAGAAGGAATTAGTGAATATTACTATTCTTGTGAAATTCCTGTCCGATTTTTTTTAGTTATTATTAATTAAATGCCACATATATTTTACAATTAATAAACGGATTTCATGCTTGATTAGGATTTGATTTGAATTTTCCTTAATAATTTGTTTGGAACCCTTTTAATGATAGACAAAAACAAAACAGAGGAGCGACTCTGATTTGCTAAATTAATTCCAAATGAATCATACTATTCCAAGAGAATCCTTGTGTTCTTTTTTTCTCAAGAACCCTAAAACTTGTCTCATACTTACCAAATCCAAGAACTTGTGTTCACTTGAAAAAGAAAAATGTAATGGGAAAAATAGACGTAAATAAATTCACTCTTGAGTCTCACACACACATGAACTGAAGCAATTCCACATTCTCAAATGACAATCAATCATTTGCTGTAAGAGTAAGCCCATTTCATGCTCAAGCTGGCAGTAGCACCTGAAGCAACAAGGACTAAACCTGGGTTCCTGTTTCAACACGTGAAGAAGAACCATGGACGCTAAAAATCGTGATATTTGAAAGAAGCATATGCACTCTGCCAAGCAGTGAGATTTTGACAGACTTTTCAATATCTGGTAGTTGAAGTGGGATCATGGTGGATTCTGCCTTGTTTATGAGTACATATTTAGCAGAGTCAGCACCGTATGTGTGACTAATAAATGGTAGATACTCGAACAAGCTAATAAATGGTAGACACTGTTATTGCTACACCGTATCTCATTATCCTCGAAACTCAATCTTGGTTTTCCATTTATTAGCTTGTTCGAGTACATGTCAAGGGCAAACTCATTATGCTCTGCACAATAACAGTGAGGTATCTTCAATCTTCTACAGTTATACAAACTCTAGCACATAATTATTATTTTTAACTTCAACTTTTATGTCATTTTCCTCAATGTTTTTAATTTTAACAACCTTGAAGTTGGTTTTTTTATACTTTTGAGATAAGAAATCATTGTTTTTAGTTTTATCATTTATGATATAACATTTTTTTATCAATAGTTTTGTTTGACTTAATGTTCATAAAGTATATTAATTAAGGAGATGGATGTAGTTTTATTATAAAAACGGATAGATCCATGAATTACATTTAATAAGACTAATTACCTTCATAAACGTTTTTAGTTAAACAATTATATAGAATAATGATAATTTATAATTCAATAATTAGATAATATTCATATAATTATAATATATGATACATGAATATTTTTTTATCAAAAGTATTTTTTTAAATAAAAACTCATCTTGTTATTTTTTAAATAAAAAATCATCTTGATATGAAAAGTAAGCTATATTCATAAAGAAATTTATTTGGAAATTATGTATATTAGGTTCATATATAATTATTCATAAAATAATTACTAATATTATTGTAAAAATTTATAATTTTATTTTAAAAAACATGAAATCACCCAATTATTTTTTAAATATAATCCCAATAATCTTATTTAAGGATAATTTCATTTTAAAATAAAAATAAAAACAAAACAATTAATCTAAAAAGAAAGAAAAAAAGGTGATGAGCCTTGAAAGAGAAAGAACTCGGGAGTTACTGACCTAAAGGCCAAGCCCATGTGCTTGGCCTAAAAGGGAAAAGCCCAACATGATTGCTTTGTATTTTCAAAGAAAAAAATAGGCTATATATCATTAATAAGTAGATGATTTATGTTTAATGGTATAATTTTTGGTTATCAAAAAGTAGAATCCAAGTTCTTGGACCCTTAAAACATATTTTTAATATATTTTTATTTAAAAATACTTAAAAGTATAATAAAAATATCAATAAACTCATTTTCATTCCTCAAGACATTCTAATTACTCTGAAAATAAAAAAATAAACTAAATAAAAGAAAAATTTATTGGACTATAATATATTTTTTTCTAGCATAGTTAAAGGGTGAAAACACCTTCGTCAAACTCTCCTCTCCCAAACAAATTTATTGACATGGAAATTGATTTTTTTATAGTAATGTTGCCAATTGAAATCTTTGTCTATCCTCTTTTTTCTTTCAATGATTTTTTATCTTTTCTTTTAAAATATAGTTATTAAAACATGATAAAAATAAGATTTGAAAACCAAAATATAAATATCTAAAACTACAGGCATTAGAGATGTCAAAATTAAAAATTTTAAAGATGAAATTGGACATTTTTGTTATTAAAGATTGCACTCTAATGAAATAGTGCAAATGTGCAACACACACTGAAGGGCTGCAAGGAAAGTCCTAGCTTTCTTTGGAAAACAAACGTCGCGTGCGTTAATTACGAGAGGTGCGTTGCCTATACTTGTTGAGTTTTCTATGGTCTTATTATTATTATTATTATTGAAAGGGTTGTATAATCAAAATTTGATCAATTAAGATTTCTTGTCATTTATACTCCTTTTTTTCTTCAATTATAACAAAATATTAATTTCTAGTTACACCAATTCTTATAATTTTTTTTTTTATCAATACTTGCTTTATTTTGTTAAGAAATCCTAACAATTAATTTCAAATTAATGATCTAGATTTCACAAACATGCTTTATCATATTTTTTTAGAGCATGGGAAGATCCAAATCTCTTATAATTATGAGAAATTATCAACATATGAAGTCATATTCTCCCATCTTATATAAATGTGAAATTCATTACAAAATTATTCACAGATCTCACCTTTTTTCCAAGTACTTATGTAGTTGTACGATGTATATGTTATCAAGAGACAATTTTAATAATTCACATCCTATAATGAGTTTGGTAGTCAATTTGATAATGCCAATCATTGACAATGTGTTCCTCGCTATTAGAATATAGATTTTACTTTGAGCTGTCCTCTAATCGAATACCTAGGTCGTGAAATCAACTCTTAGATTTTCACAATTATTCGTAAAATGTATTTTTTTTCATTTCTTTTTCCATTAAAAAAATCAAACCTGTTTTATTTATTTATGCTCAACAGTTCTTGATATGAACGGGGCGGTCAAATTTTCACCAATCAATGGGTTGTTTAGTTTGATTATAAACCCAACTTGGTCTAAGTCAAGTTGCAATGTTTTTCAGATCAATTCAGGCTGGGCAAGGTTAGATAGCTATGGACCAGAAGATTGAACAGATACGGTGTCTCAAGTGCTTGCACCACCACGACTCGCCAGCATATCTTCAAGCCACTTCAATATAAGTGAAAGGATCTGAACTCTATTGAAGTCTTAACAGAATTCTTTCGAGATACCATTTCCTTGTGTATAGGACATTTGGCTAACAAATAATTAGAAGAAGTTGATGAGCGAAGTGAATGAAGATTAGAATAACAAGCATGGTAATAACAGTCAATCCAGGTTTGCTGCGAGGTTCACAAGAAATCTCTTTTCACCAATGACGTAGATGCATGGATTTTCAAAAGAATACAATTTGGAACAAAGAAATCAGTATCAGTTAGCGCAGAAGCATAGTACCGTATGTGTTTTCAGGGGTGGGGGGGGACTGGATCCGAGATAGTTGTTTTGAAGACCACTTCAGAAATCAATTTTGCTCCCATGAAAATGAAAATTAAAAAAACTTTCACAAGATAACAATAGCTTCATATTTTAT